ACCTTTGCATCTTGTTCCAAATGTGGACATTTAAGAGCAGTGAGGTTCATTGAAGACATTGCCTGAACCATAAACCAGAAATGCATTCACAATCATGATTTGTAATCATCACAAGCTCTAGATTTGTTCTGATTACCATGTTCCCAGGCCTTTTGTCTGTTATAAATTCCTGGCTCTCTTATAAGCACGTTCATTGCACTGACTTCCTCAGAGAGCAAAGATTTCCCGTGGAGTGTTGTTCAAAAGCAAGAGCACATTGTATACCATATAACTGGTTCTCATCATGAGTCTGAATTTTACAAACTATGTCAACTTGGGTAAGTTATACAATACCTTTGAGTGTCGGTTTACTTTTTTGAAAAGTGAGATTAATAATATATGACTACTTAATAGCATCATTATCATCTTAACTAAGATATGTACAGTCTTAACACCATCCATTATCATCTAAGTGTTGCATGTTTCTGTGCTTTTAATAAAGGGAATACACTTAGACATACTATATAATTACGATGTACTATTATTTATTCAGATCATTCTCATGAACTTCTTGTAGCTAAGCAGATTATCATGGAGTTATACAGATCTTGAAGTACCAAGATAAGCATCTTCTATTTCATGAACTAGATGACTCTTCCAAAACAACCAGACTCATACTCAAACAGATAGTGGCCTTGTCTTTTTTAAAACTGAAGGTAGGATATTTCCACTCTCACCTTGGAGAGTTGCCAGGCATTTCATGGATTGTCATAAATCAGGCAGCTGTATAGAGGGATCTGTTTCTCCATTCTATTATATCACATTGGCTTATTTATGTACACTGGTGCCACTAGTACTCTGTCTTAGTTACTTACAGCATTGTAATAAGTCTTGATACCTGATAGTATAAGTATCTAGCTTTTTTTCATTTCCAAAACTTCACCCATGTTGAATAAAGCTTCTAGAAGAGAATAACTTTATGATTCATGACCTTGGGATGACCAGAATTTTTTTCAGTGGGATGGACACACAAACGCATGCATATACAATACAACACAACTGTTAACCAGGAAGAAAGATAAAGTGGACATATTTAAACTAAGAACTTTTGTTTAAAAAAAGATACAATTAAAAGAGTTCAAAAAATAAGCCACAGAACAAGAGGTGATATCTGCAATATATACATTTGAGAAATATTTTATATAAAAAATATATAGACAGTTTCTGCAAACCAATAAGATACAGTCAAGCTAATTGTGGCAGTGGGCAAAAGATTTGACAAACTTCACAAAAGATGGTATCAAAATGGCTGATAAATTTATATAAATGTATTCAATATCATTAGTCATTAGACAAATACAAATTAAAGCTTGATATATATAATTACACAAACATAATGGATAAAATGACTTTTTTAAAAAACAGAAAAAAGGCAGTATACCACATATAGGTGAGGACATGAAGCTAGTGGAAGAAAAAAATATAAACTTTTATAACTCCTTGAAAAAATATTTTACAGTACTCACTGAAGGAAAACATATGTATACCATATGACCCAATGATTCTACTCATGTGTATATTCAAAAAAGTGAATAGCAAAATGGACAAAAAGACATACATAAAATGTTCATGGAAGTTTTATTCACAGGAGTTCTAAACTGAAAAGAAAATATTCAATAATAGAATGAGGAGGTAAATTATATTGTGTGCATGCAGTAGAATACTACATAGCTATTAACAAAAACAAGCCTCACATGCAACCTGGTTGAGTATCATAAACCTAATCTTAAGTGGAAGATGTTAGACACGAAAAATGTATGTATTTTTAATTATATGAAGTTTCAAAACTGATCAAACTAACCCATAGTTATGGAAATCAGAGTGGTTTTTACTTTCAAGAGTTACTGACTGGAAGGGAGAACGGGGTCTTCCTGAAAGTGGACACCATCACATATGCTGCTTTCGGTGGTGGTTACACATGTATATGTGTGTTCACAAGTTTATCAGTCTGTATGGTTAAGACTTACGTACTTTGCCAAATATAACTTAGTAATTTTTTAATTGACAAATTTCCTGAGACAAAGAAGATAAAAAGATGGAGAGCGTTTTCCTTGTAGTGTCCATTCTTATGAATTCTTTAGCTGAGAACTGGAAGGGGCTGTTCTTCATGTAAGTGCTTTCTGAAACAGTCATGGTCTAACAATTTAATATATCAGAACACACACTGAGGACATTCCAGAGGGCAGTGCTCAATTCTTCTCAGGGTTTTTTTCTCATTTTGATCTTCCCTTGTACTAAATAGATCTTACAAAATTCCATGTTCTGTTTATATGTTAATAACAATACAATATGAGACATAAAGGTAAATTTAAATCATGTATCAAGTTTCTGGTATTATTGTCTGAAAATATTTTCAGAGTTTTGGCTTAAAATTGCTTACTGTGTACAGAATAAGTGAAGTGGGGACTGGTGTTGAAGTCAGTGAGAGGTACCTCTGCTGCTTCTGTAATGCTGCTTTTCAGAAAAGCATCCTTTACCTCAGACCAAGCAACTGTGATTTTTAGGTTAACAGGACCTACTTAGTTCCTAAATCTGCAGTCCTCCAGGTAATGGAGAATCATTTAGACTATTCAGGAGGCTTGGCTGTGGTCTAGGTCCTGGGACAAATCCTGTCTTAATTCTCCAGTGAATAAGTCTCAGTCTGGGTTCCCACAGTCTCTACCCTGGGCCCACTTATTTTCCTATCCCTGCAATCTCTACTCAACCTCTAAATCATGCTCTCCAGTTCGAATCTCCATGTCTGCACCTGGGTTATTTCTGCAGGATTTGCTGGTTGCCACAAGCTCTATTCCCTGCCATTGTCCATCCCTCAGTAGTACCTTCTGACAGTCTCTGAGGGCTCTCCCAGAGTCCAAATGAGCTGTACTTTCATAAGAGCTCTGCACCAATAGTTCTGACACCTTCATAATTACCTGAATTCAATCCTCATTCCCAAATTCTTAATGTACTACTAATACTCAGGTATCAATCTTCATCTTCATGATTCGACTCAGTTGCTCTAGTGGATATTTGAACCTCATGTAAACAATGTATTCGTAACATCACTTATAGAGAAAAATATTAACAGCCTAAAATCAAACTTTAGCCAAAATTTTATTACATAAATTAAAAGTCATTCACGTTATAAAAATAATGTTCACAATAATTCTAGGAAAAATAACAATATTTTGTAGAAACTGTGTATTTATGAGTAAATCTAAGTATTGAATTTGTCATAGGATAAAAAAGGACTTAAAAGACAAAATCTAAGTTGTCAGTGCCAATGGTTTAACTGATATGAAACAAGCAATTTTTTTTGGTATGTCTTAAAACTCTTTAATAGCTTTTTTGAGGTATAATCAAGATACATGTTAATGTATACCCATGAAAACATCATAATATTTAAGATAATGAGCTTACATACACACCAAGCCCGTAAGTTTTCCCTCATAAAATGCAGCAACAGAAATTACAGCCAGCCTCATAATGGGGCCTAACTTACATAATAATAATTCAGTAGAATATATACTCATATAAATGTGTGTATATATACATATATAATTGTTGCTTTGTATAATTGTATAAATAATGAGATAACAAATATTAATGTTTACATATATTCATCTACTATATTTCAGTAAGTCTTTTATATTTCATTTGTTTCTTCAACTAACTCAGGAAAAAATTGTGTCTTACTGTAGTTTTTGAGGGTTACGTAAGAATAGAGTGCCTATTTCATTAACTATGTCATGATATTACTATAAATTTTGGGGCTTAAGGATATGTGACATTTTGGAGGGGAAAAGAGAGGAAGAGAAAGAAAAAGGTGGCTAAAGAGTAATAGAGGAGAGATTGTTTACATGTGCATATTCCCTGAAAAAATTAATTTATGGAATTCTCCTGATATCAGACACATTTGGCAGTGAGCAGGGGGAGCTTGAGAGCAGTGACAAACCACATCATGTGTTTTATTCTGTACACATTGCTTAATCTGGTTTTTGGAAGTTTTCTTTAAAAACCAAACTGTTAGTCTTTTTTGCTTATCACTCAGCAGGGTGGACTCAGAAACAAACTTGGCAGATTATGAGAAAAAGGTACCAACTGAACTTAATAAACTATACTTATTAATATCTTAAAGCAACCTCTACTGAACAGAAATAAAGGAAAGCCTATATTAACTGATTTTCCTAACTCCCAGTGACAACCATCCTTAGCAGAATGATAAGATGTTATAGAATGTCTCCAAATCACGTATATAACTTACTCATACCAAGATCACACCTCTTCTCTATGGGAAATAGAGAATTCAAATCTAATTTTTGTGTGTTTTTATGTTATGTTTCTGATGCTACTATAAGAAATTACTATAAACTTAATGTTTTAAAACAACACAAATTTGTTAGTGTACAGTTCTGGAGGTCAGAGGTCCCAGTGGGTCTCACTGGGCTAAAATCACAATCCTCAGGGAGAGCCCTGGGGGATTCCATGTCCACTCCTTTTCCTACTTCCCGAGGTCACCCTTATTCTTTGGTGTGCACGGCCCCTTGTCTAACTTCAAACTCAGCAGTGGCTAATCAAGTCTTTCCCATGATTCATCACTGACACTGCCTTTCTCTTTCACATTTAAGCATTTTTGTGGTTACACTGAGCTCACACGGATAATCCAGGATAATCTCCCTATTTTAAAGTCAGCTGATTAGCAATTTGAATTTCATCTGCTACCTTAATTCTCTCTTGTTATAAATGTAACATATTTAACAGTTCCAGGGATTAAAACATTAAGTCTATTATTCTTGCAATCACAGTTCTTCCTTCCCCTCTTGATCCCAATGACTAATATATTAAACCTTGTTCTGATCCTGCTGGTTTCTTTTTGCAGAAAATGCAAATATATGTAAAAGTGGTTTTTAAAATGTCTTATTACAAATTTTTATCTCAAGAGTTGACAGTAATCTAAAACTATGTTACTTTTCTTTCCAGGAATGACAATGAAACGCTTCTTATTTTTGGCTGCTGCTGCTGGCTTTCTGCCTGTTTTGATTGTAAGAGTATTGTGAGGTTTCCGTATCATAATTACTACTTTTTGGAAGAAATAAGAGCTAACCTTGTAGGAGACTCACCTTATTACAGGCAGGGTTGTGAGGACTCTGACTATTACTCACCTGGTTCTCACCATTGCCCTGTCAGGCAAGTGCAGTCTTAGTCCCATACTACAGAGACCCGTAAAGTCCTGTAGCCAAGGTTAGATGACTAGGAAGTGGCAGAGCCTAATAGTAAACTGAAGTAGTTTGGTTCTGTGGGCTCATGCTTCTTATAGTCCTTCTGGATAATTAAAAAAAAAAAGAAACAAAACTGAGAATGTAGGGCAAGAATTACTTATCTATAATTCATGCATGTATTTTCCATGACTAAATGCGGGGCGGGGGTGGGGGGAACACTGCTTTGTTCTGTTTACTGGGAAAAGGTAATTGTTCCATTAATATCCAAACTGAGATGGCTGATTTATAACTATAAGAAGATTGTAACACATCAAAATTGAATATAAAATGAATGGTGCCAAAAGTAAGGACAGGAGTATTATATAAGGAGCTATTAGCAATGGAGTGAATATATAAGGCCAGAATCTCACTGCTTATTAAAAACAAGAACTTCAACAATCAGAAACAAACAAAACACTCAAAGGTATAATAAGAAGAAATAAGTCTCAAATATGTTGTGCTCACCCACTAATATGTACCTCTAAATACCTCAACAATGTAAAGAAAATATTACACTTTTTAATATTTCCAAAAATATTTTTATTATAAGCTGAAGTTTATAGCTTTGGTATATAAAGTGTTTTTTATATTTTTATAAGCTAGATAATGAGGGGAACTTCACAGTGAGGTTCCCTAGGCTGCCACAGATGAGAATAAAGAGTAGTCCAGGATACAGTCTTGTTGCAGGAGAAGGGGTGGCGATTCCCTCTAGTGGAGAATGCCCAGAGCCCTTCTCCAACATGGCTTTTATTAGGGCTGGGAAGTACAGGGGGATACAGAACACGTGTATAGCTTATCAATAATTGTCCAACAAGGCTATAGTTATAAAAAACTAACACTATCTATAGATAACAACTGAAGAAACACAGAAATCTCTTCAGGTTGGGGTCTTTGAGACATGCAGATGCCAGATGGTTGTAAAGGCGTATATCATGAAGTAGAGTTTCACTCCTTATGCCTTGTACTCAAACGTCTGGGTTATACTGACAGGGCTTATCATTGAGCAGAGCTGGCTTCAAAGGACAAAAATGTGCATTTCAGGACTGATTCCCACAGGACCCTTCATGTTAAAATCGAATCATGCCTGCCACCTGCATTACGACCTGGTTTTCCAGGGAGACTTGCCAGCCCCTTTCAGAGCTTGCTTTCATGGGGCTACGACCTCCGAATCCACACAGAGCAGTCCCCAACAAGATAAGTCAGACATGAAAGGTACTAAATATTATAAACAAAAGAAAATCCATATGCATTAGACTATTGGGGTGTTGGTTTAGATCATATCACTCACAGATTCCTCCTTCTTGCCTTCTGACTCTCTGCCCATTTACTCCCCCAATGCAGAGGGTGGATCTTCACACTTCACAGTAAGGAAAAGCTAACCTGAAACATAGCAACCATTTCAGAGTGTGGGGGGTTTGAGGGTAGGGGAAGGAAGACAGTGAGCAAACTACATTTGCTTTAAGACCTAGCTAATACTATACTGGTATAGGCCACTTAGCTCAAGTTCTTGGAGACAACCTGGCCCAGGTTGACATGTGAAAGAAGGCATCAGTATCACATACCAATATCCAATACTCTCCAAGAATACAAAGAAAAAATGTGAAAGGGTTGAAGGAGTTGATAAAATGACACATCTATATTCTATAGACAGATAGTTATTGGAACATTTACATATAATTTGATAAAAATTTGCTTAGAAAATTAAGGCTTAAGAATTTTAAGTGAAAACATGAATATAACAAAAATAGAGCCCTTCAAACACATGAATCTCAGTTAAAGTAAATAATAATCTGTTTCAATTTGTACCCTGCCCAAAAATCATGTAATACTTTCCATTTTAAAACTCCAGATAGAAAGTAAATAGGTTGATTGCATGGCTTGAATGTTATTTTAAAATTCCCTTCAATGGTAAACTTTACTGGGATACTAGGCATCTAATTGGACAGATTTTTTTTTTTTTTACTGAGATATAAAATTTTCCATGAGACTCTGGTAAGTGTTACGGAATGTGGTGTTTGAATAAAAAGTATAGGGAGTGCAAGCAGGTAACTAAGCTGGTTTGATCTTGTTGAATGTAATTAGTGATTACTCTGGTGATTAGGACATGGTGCCTCAGCTCTAAAGGGTATATAGACATGGCTTGGTAGAGCAAGCTGAAAGGGCATATGAACAAAGGGACAGGCTTAGGCAAATATTCTGAGAGTGTGGAAATCGGCACTTTTCCTTTTGGAATAACAAAAAGAAAATCACTGAGACTAAAGCAGAGAGAAGGAGGGGAGCGTGTCCTAAATAGAGCTTGGGAAGTCAGCAGGGTCTTCTTAGGCTCAGTTAAATATTTGGTTCTTTCTAAGACTTGTAAACTGTTGAAGACTTTTAATGGAAAGGTGACTCCACTGTGTCTGTACTTTGCAGTGTTTACTCTGGTTGATGACTGGAGAGCAGACAGTGAGGGACTGGATAGGGCAGTGAGAGGGAGGATGTAGAAATAATGGGGCACGTGCTAAGTATGGGAGGCCGGTAGAAGGCCAGGCTATAGCTACAGCCAGTCCAGGTGAAGGAAGAGAACTATGAGAGTAAGAGAAAAATGAAGAGAATGTGTCGTCCTTTACACTAAGAAAATGACTATTTCTACACTGAAAACTTAGTCAAAGGACTTAGCTGCCAATAGACCAAGTAGGATGAAGATGTTTAAAGAATATATTGAATTTACAGTTTGAGTTTGTTGGTGACTTGGGGCTGTTTGGTGTTTTGTAAGATGTTGAGCAGAATCACTAGCCTCTCTCCACAAGATGGCAGAGTTCTCTCCCTCATCCAGTCTGACAACCAAAAATTCCTCTAGACATGATCTAATGCTTAGTGAGAAGAGAGGGAAGTTGGGGAGGGGGCATATCACCACTAGTACAAACCCACTGTTTAAGTGGAATAAGTGAGGAGTGGGTGAATGTAAGACTATGTTACTTAAACAGCAGGGAATTATAGACAACCATTGCTAGCAACCTCTTCAGGAATTTTGATAGAAAAAGGAAGTAAAGAGAAAGGATGATGCTTGAATGGGGAAGTGACATAATTAAAGAGTTTTGTTTATTTATTTTAAGATACAAGCATCATTGTCATGAATAAATGCCAGTGAGAAGGACCAAGACAAAAAAATGGTTGTAGATAAAATAGAAAGATAATGAGTAATAGAAGATTTGGGGAAAGGTGTAAGAGAGTGGACTAAATAACACAGGTTGTGAAATGTGCTTTTGAAAGAATGACCTGTTTTTACTTTGAGGAACCCAAGACAATTTTTCATAATGGCTGTACCACTTTGCATTTCCATTAACTGTATAATAGGGTTATCTTTTTTCACATCATGGCCAACATTTGAAATCTTTTGTTTTTTAATAATTGCCACTCAAAAAAAAATTTGGTCATATTCTATTGTGCTTTTGATTTGCATTTTCCTGGTGAATAGCGAGGTGAAGAACCTCTTCGTGTACCTGTTGGGCACTTCTGTGTCTTCTTTGGAGAAATGTTTGCTCATGTCCTTTGAGTAATTTTTAATAGGGTTATCTTTTGTGTTATTGGGTTGTTGAGTCCCTTATATATTTTGGATATTAACCCCTTATCATATATATGGTTTGTGCTATTTTCTCCCCTTCTGTAAATTGTCTTTTTCATTTTATTGTTACCTTTGCTGGGCAGGAACTTTTTAGTTTGATATAATCCTATTTGTCAGTTTTTGCTTTTATTGTCTTCTGAACAAAAGGGGCCACATACTAAACCTGACAGGCCCAGGAGAGGCCCATGTGGCAGCCCTGCAAACTCAGAGACCTAAAGTAACCACAAAGAATGATCTAAAGTTAAAAATGTTCTAGGAGCAAGCGATGGCAAATAGTCATGTCCTAGGCTAGAATCTGACAAAAGTCCACCTTTACCTCAATAGAGCCTCTCTGTTGTCTTCTTGCATCTATGATAACCCACCTTTGGAATGTCAGATTTCTTTTTTCGGGAGGCCTGCAACCACAGGTCCCTCACCAGAGGGAGACCACAAATCCCCTCATTGTTACTGTTACTGTGTTAATTGTTAACTGTCTACTCTCTTATACCCTCCTGTGTGAAAGAAATATGTGTCTACCACTTTACTTTTTATGGAATTCCAGAGGTTTCCCTGCTTTGCTTTCTCCTGCCTCCCTAATCTATCACCAATAGACTTCACGTAACTCACCTATGCATCCTCTTTTGATTGTAATGAATAAAATAAGGTGCATTACTGCCCTTCTCCAGAGCATTTTCTCAGTCCGTTGAGGTTTTGCTTCCCTACAATTGTCGTCAGCTTGGCTCAAATAAACTCATACAAATTCTCTTCAGGTTTGAACATCTCTTGTGTTGATAGTCTGTGCTTGCCAAGACTAATAGCAGTGCTTTACCTGTGTTTTTGGCTAGGTCATTTATAATTTCAGATCTTATATTTAAGTCTTTAATCCATTTTGAGTTGATATCTATGTATGGTGTAAAATAAGGGTTTGGTTTAATTATTTCACATGTGGATATCCTGTTTTAAATTTGCCAAGAGAACAGATCTTATGCTAAGTGTTTCTACCCCATACACAAAGTAATAATGATAGTTATAATAATGAGGGTGACCAAAGTGTCGCAGGTTCGATTCCTAGCCAGGGTACATGCCTGGGTTGCAGGCCATAACCCCCAGCAACCACACATTGATGTTTCTCTCTCTCTATCTCCCTCCCTTCCCTCTCCAAAAATAAATAAATAAAATATTTAAAAAAATAATGAGGGTGGGAAACATCTTTAGGAGGTGATGAATATGTTTATGGTCTTGATGGTGATGGTGGCCTCCTGAGTGTGTATTGATCTCAAACTCACTGAGATGTATACATTCAATATGCACAACATTTTACATCTCAATTATATTTCAATAAAATAGTTTAAAAAACACACAACAAAGTGTAACCTATTCCACAGTACCACAAAAGATTTAGCTGCAGTCTGAAGAGAAGTTGAAGCAGCTGCCCTCTGATAGCTTCTCTTCACTGAAAAAAGTGAGATGTATTGGGAGAGTCAGGCATTACTGGGGTGGAGTGCACCCCAGTTCTGTGATAACGTTGTGGAGAGAGAAAGTGTGACGTAAGCAGGTAAGTGAGTAGAACTGATGAGCAGAATTAAAGGATAATTTGAGATCAGACATTCTGATAATGGGTGGTACCAGTATTAGTTATGTTCTAGTATCTTTTGGCCAATTCTCAGCTGACTTAATGCAGGCAGGGAAATTTTTGGTCCCATCCAAAGGTGGGGTGTTCCTCTAGGAGGAAGGGCAGGCAAAGCATTCAATCTTTTAGCAAGACATTTTTGAAATGAAGACACATGAGTAGAAAAGAAACAGCAAACAAGAAAGGGGAAACAGAGAAAATAAAGAATAAGCTTGATGGCTAATGAAATGCCTGAACTTAGCAACTGGGAAGAACAGGGAATCACAGTCAGACAGTGAAATGCTTGACCAGGTGATCAGGTAGGGAGCTTATGACCTTTAGGAGTGATCGTGAGATATGGACTATGACCGTCAAGGTGGAGAACTGAAGAGGCTTGTAAAACGGGTTTAAGAGAGGAAGAGTTCACAGGCCTGAGATGTCAGCGAGAATGATCTGTGTGGATGCTGAGTCCCTCAAGTGGACGAAGTCATTAGGTGGACAAAATGAATTTGTTTCAGGAGACCCAATGTTTATGAATAAGAGGAAAGGATAGGAATATTGTTATAGGAGAGTAAATATTCAGGCATGAGGAGGTAGCACTAAGTACTGTTAGTTTTACCAGAGAAGGGTTTTCTAGAGGAGCAAGGAGAGTTATAATCTGGCAATGAGAGGAGGGTGCTCATGAGTCACCAACCTCTCCTGTAGCCTAGACCAGAGTCACCTGCATTATGAATGGAAAATAGCACCAAAATAGTGTGTTTCTGAGAAAATAATGTCCCCATGGAACAGCCTCTATGTAGGTCTTCTGAATTTCCATATTTATGGCTTTTCTCTATACCCCAAACTGATATTAGAAAATAAAGGACATTAACTACTACTATATTTGAAAAAGGTATGACATTGGATCCTATCTATTCAAAAACTATATTCATAGTCCCATGGTAGTTGAGGAATAAATAGATATCACTCAAGTCACACTATATAAGTTTTATCACTATTTTTAAGGATATGAATTATATGTGATATATCATAAACACAGAAAAGCTGCTCTGTATTTCAATTAATGTTAACCTAAAATATTAAGGAGTTATTTTTCTTCTTAGTTGTAGGATAAAAGGTAAACACATTTTTTTGTTCATGTGAATTCTAGATTATAGATGATTTGAATCCTATTTTATACCTACAGATGTAAACATTAGTGCTTTCTCATACAAATAAGACAAAGATGTACAATCTGAGTTAAAGAGACTTGAATCTTTGTACTTGTAATGAATCTCTTACATTAGGTTCTCCAAGATGCAGATCTTTAAACAGGAATTCAAGTGTAAGTGGTTTATCTGGGAAGCAAAGAGAACACTTGGAGGTGTGGTGGGGAATGAGCCAAGGAGGGGAAGTCAGTCAGTTACAGGTATGCTACCAAGACATCATACTGTGGTTCATACTGTCCAATAACACCTGCTTCAACCTGGCCCAAAGTACCAATTATGAATTTCAAAAAGCCCATCACAGAATATTGTACTACTCTATAGCCTTGTACAATGTCAGACAGACATATGGAAATCCTTAAAACTAGCACTGGAGAAGTGGAAACTAACATATAGCAATAACAAATTTTAAAATACTCTTCATCATTATTTATTCCATGTAAATTATAAATTAAAATTGTGTGTAGGTCTGCAAAGTAATAAATTGTACCTGACAAATTCCACTTTAAAGAAGAAAGACTAATTAATTTTCTGGTAACAGGCAAAACCACCTGTGGTTCCATATAGTACAGTCCTTACTGACTTGGCAACTGTTCAAGAAAAAATTGTTACTCTGCACAATTACATCAGGAGAACAGTATTTCCGGAAGCCAGCAACATGGTGAAAATGGTAAGATTATTCAAACAGCAGTAACAATGATGATGATGATACTAATGGTGTTTATTGAGTTTTTATAAAGTTCTACTAGCTTTCAATATACTAAAAGTTTGGTCTTCACAAGCAAATCTGTGGCATAGTGGCAGAAGAAAGAGAAGCCCAGTGGAGGTAAGCAAATGTCCCAATTTCATGCAGTTGGTGAATGACAGAGCAACAATCTCAACACAGCCTGGCTTCATTCACAGTGTGCCCTAGAACAGTGCTGGCTTCATTCACAGTGTGCCCTAGAACAGTGCTTCTCAAACCTCAGTGTGCTCCAGAACCACCTGAAGAACTGGGCACAGCCAGGTTCCTGGGCCCCCCTCTCTGACCTCCTGATTCGGGAGGTCTGGGCTGGAGACCAGGGTAAGCTCCTGCTGATTCTGATGCTGCCGGTCAGTATCCTCTGTATAGCACACCTTGTTTCACAAGTCTTTGAGGCATTTTATAGCTGTTTTTCTTAGGCAACAGCCCAGAGGTTAAGACATTCTTCTGAGAGTAAAGATGACCAGATTCTAAGCCAGGTGAGGCTGCCAGGTAAACATATCAACAAATCTATTTTCCAGCTCCCTTACATCTCATAAAAGGAGAGAGAAATTATAGTTCTGCTATAAACCTGATGGGTGAGCAGATTAGGTGCTATAAAACAAAACAAATTTAGGGAAGTCTCAGGTGATTGGCACTGCATTTATTACCTCACAGAAGTATCATTCAGATTTTGGGGGAACCTTATCCTGGTTGCTCAAACCCTGAACTGGCCTAAAGTAGCAAGGGTTAGAAATAGTGCAGACTCTGGAGGATGATTCTAAGTGACATTTTCCTCATGTTAAGTTACAAAGTGGAGGAAACAAGTGAATAGATAAATAACTTCAAAGTGTATCTCTTGGTCATCTTAGAATACAAAGTGTTATTTGAAGAAAACAATAAAAATCGAAGGCCCTTACCAGCATTGTCACATTGTGAGTGCTGTATCTGACGTGCATATTGTGCTTATCATTGACAGTCACTCTTCTGAAACCTATTCTATTAATTCATTTAATTCAATAGTCCTGTGATTACATACTATCATTTCTATTTTACAGGTGATTAATCTGAACCTCTGAGAAATTAAGTAGCTTCTCCAGTCATAAGTACTGGATCAGTACAGATACAAATGCAAATGGCCAGCTCCAGGCACCTGCTCTTAATTATTGACTTCCCTTAAGACAAACATGGTCTATACTCCTTGGTTTCTAGATGGGCAAATAAGTGTAGCTGGCAGTATCGAAGAAGTTACAGAGTAAGGGGAAATTATAGGCTCTGATTTCAGAATTCATTATTGTGGATTAAAGGTTTATACAATGGAAACAGAGTATAAGAATGGACTTACTCAAATGCTAATTTACAAAAGTATGAGAGACCAACAAGATGGTAAGTCAAGCACACCAATAAAACTGAGTAACATTTTAAAGGGACTATGGGGATTGAGCTCTTCCATAAACAATGCATAGGATGTGGATAGAAAGAAAATTACAGCATTACTGTAAGGCTGAAAAGTCTATCACAACTGTTATTTTAAAAAAGAAATTTCTATATGTTGGGTTAAAAACTTTTGAGGTCAAACAAGATTAGGCATGTCCAGGGTGGTTTGGCCATAGACAATAGGGTTAAGAATTAATAAACAGAACCACTTGTTAAAGGCAGAATTCATGGCTTTGATACAATAACTATAAACACTCATTTGTGATTTCAATCAAGGGTGTATCACAAAAACAGGGTATCTTATCAACATAAATCAGAGGTCATGTCCGAGAGAGCTTCCTCAAAGAGGTCTGAACAACAGACTCTGTATAATGAATGTTGCAGGTAATTTACACAGCAACACAAGCAGACTCTGAGATAGAAATTAGCATGCGGGATGTTTATTGGGGAACAATCTCCAGATTTAGGCCTATGTGTGAAGGTAGAGAGGGAAACAGCATTGGGTATATGGAGGATGCAGGGCCAACAGAGGTCTTAGCTACTCCCATGGGAAACTATGCAACTAGAACAACCTTTCTGAGTTGTCCTGAGTTGGAGGGAGGTGGCCTGTCATTCACAGTTCCCACATGGACTCACTGTTGGATATGGCTGCCCAGAGAAGGGGTTATACTCATGAATAAGGACAATGTTAGGGAGGATGGGCAGTAGTAGAGTTGTCTATGGGCAGGACTCCTCCCTTAAGAGGAAATAAGTGCTTCACTCGAGAAAGGGTCCTGGGGAGTGCATCATAGTATGTGTGACAAGCAATCAGCTGTAAGTTAGCCAGATAAGTTCCTGTCCCAAGCATTTGGTAACCTGGCCATTATAGGCAGGAGTTTGAACTACTGGGTGTGATTAATGATGTTGCCACTGCCAGGAGATCTCATGTCCTAATGGGATGTGTTATGTCCTCTCTATTTCTTCTCTAAGATGTGTTCACTACTAAAATCTTCTCTTGAATGAAACAAACTCAACAAAACCATGTTTTTTTCTTTGATCTTAGGTTAATGAATTACTCAATTCATCTCACAGTTTACTAAATTCATCAACCTGAGGTATAATTCTAAGAAACATATATGATGGCAGCATATGCATATAATAGTTAAACGTTGAAGCCAGGATAAATATTGTCAACCTGTTTTAGGGTGTCATCCAAAAATTGTTATAAAGAGTAGCTAAATGACTTATGTAAAATCCTATAGTAAAACACCAACTCTGTAACTTTGGTTGATAATGTGCTGCATGCAGATATCTGAGAAGTTTTTTACATGAACGTCACACAGTGTGAGAAGGAAAGGGTATCGGGAGAATGTTTGTCACAGAGTCCCATAACTCGTGACATAGATATTCTGCATTGCATTTTATTGGAAGATAAACCAAACAAAATGTTACAACTCAGCACAACTATTGCGCACTGAGAAAGAATTAAGAGCACACATTCTGGAGCCAGAACACCCTAGATTCTAATTCTCTTTTTACCACGTATGTGTTGTTTTGTCTTAGAAAATAATGCGACATTTCTGTGCCTCAATTTTCTCATTGGCAAATGGGAATAATAATAGGACTTCCTTTGTAGGATTGCTGTGAGTAAAAATGAGGGAATATTCATACAGAATTAGTAACAGATCCTGGCATGTAGTACTAGCTATAATTTGTATTATTATTCACAATTTTATATGGAAATATGTGACACTGTATCTGCTTCTAGTCACAGTTATCATTTACTTACTGGACATGTAATATGAGATTTATCATATCACAATTATATTACATTAGCTATCATATAAAAATTTTTGAATAAACAATTGGGTTAAAGCTGAAGAAACTGATATTCAAAAAGATTAAATAATTTATACCAACAACTAAGAGGAGGGATTTCTAACTTTGGTATTTTTTTCCTGGTAGTATTTACTTAACCTCTTCAATACATCTAAGAGAGAAGCTATATCTGAACTCTATTACCAAATTCTGATTTTGTAAATTCAAAGGCTAAAACAATGAATTAGAAGTCGTATCTTCCTCTTTCAATTAAACTATTCAAATTAGTATAATTATTTACATTATCTTAAATTACTTAAATTGAGGATATTTCTAACTGGATTTTTAAAAATGATAAACTGAAATCTTATTATGGAAACATTAAGGCCTAACTGGTGTGGCTCAGTGGATTGAGTGCCAGCCTGTGAACCAAAGGGTCACCAGTTTAATTCCTGGTCAGGCCACATGCCTGGGTTGGCCAGATCCCCATTAGGGGTGCACTAGAGGCAACCACACATTGATGTTTCTCTCCCTCTGTTTCTCCTTCTCTTCCCCTCTCTCTAAAACTAAATAAATAATTTTTCAAAAAAAATTCTTAAAAAAAGGAAATGTTAAGGTCATGTGTTTGTATAATATTTTACTCTTCCACTGTAGAGTTGGAATGAAGAAGCTGCCCAAAATGCCAGAATAGTGTCAAACAACTGTGACTTGGCAAAGAGCAATGCAATTAGGAGGCGAATTTCAAGTAGGTATATTTTTATATGACTCCCCTTTGTGCTTACAGGTCCTCAGGGATTATTAAGTAACCCAGAAAGGGTAATTCAATTCATGTCATCCATATTTACATTTGCTCCACAAATGACAGTGAATTGTGGCCCATTACAGTTTCATTAATTTTTTTTTAATTTGGATATTCAATTTTTTCAAATTTCATATTCTAATCATTAAAAGAAAAGAGTCAAAACTCTCAGTGTTACAGAATATCTGAGTAATACAATGATGACTGTTATGTACAGCTAAATAGCTAGAAGTTTCCACTTTACATTATTTCAGCTACCCACAACATTCCCATACCTTGAGCTTTGGAACACTGACACAGTTGAGGAGTTATATCAACTCTCCTGAGCTTCCCAGAAGAACAATTTTAGATGCTCAAAAATGACTCCATCTCATGGCATATGTAATAAGTGGGTCACTGTTAGTTTCCAGGAAAGCCAATACCAACTCCTACTCAAGTAGAGATGACTATTTATGAGATATTGTTTATTATAAAATATTTAAAAATAATAATGACACCTCTATATTTATTGATTATTGGGCATCTTTGCCCAATATTGTTGAGCAGTGAATTAGCAATATGAGTCTTCCTTCCCCAGAGAAATGCACATCACTATTGAATACCATGTTTGCTTAAGAGCTCACATCACAAATGGGATGGCTAAATGAGCAAGTGTTTATTTCAAAGACCTTACATTATTATTACCGCTGTGTATGTAGCTGTTTTCAAACCATGAGCCCTGTTATAAGTCATAGTCTGCTCTGACTGATCTCACTTTTCTTCATCAGCTAAGTGGCAGAGACTGAAATGTTGATTGATTTCATTTCCAAGCTTTGCACATCATCTTGTACTGTCAACTTTTCACCAAACCTGAGCAGCAGACATTTATTCATCAGTGAGAAAGAAGACTGCCAGCAGTGATACAACCGAGTTTGCCTCCTCTTAAAAGACATTGCTTGAAAGACCAGTATGGCATTTATAAAGCACAAATGAGGAAATTGTCCTTGTAAAGTATTTTCAAATTTTTAGAGTATGACCCAGCCTTTTTCTCTCCTTTCAGATACTTTTTGTGGAGAAAATAAGCATTTGACATCTCATGTTATCCCATGGTCAGAGGTCATTGAAATTTGGTACAATGAGTCTATAGATTTTCATTATGGCTATTGGTCACCAGTGGTTGAGGAGAAACATGATCGTTACATTCAGGTAACTTGGGAACTGGCAAATATCCACATTGCTTAAGTGACTGTGATCATGTGAGAAACATAGGTGACTGAGAACTAAGGAAAATCATTCTACCCATGTTTTGAAAACTTATACTAAACTCATTGAGTCCCTCTTATAATTTGCAGCACAAGGAAGTGTGATTCCCTTCATAGATGACTTGGAGAGGATGTTTCCTCCTTTACATAATTGATTTTCTGGGATTTAAAAAACCATAAAATATCAATGTTATTTATAAATTATGTTTGTAAAGAATGAAAATAACTGTAACTTATACAGAGAATCCCCATTTTCCATTTTATTTATATTATGATAAAATAATATATATATTTAAAAGTTGTAATTTTAACCACTTTTAAATTATGTACCATTAGTGTTCACTGATATTAACTACATTCAAATATCACCACCATCCTTCTCCAGAACTTTTCATCTTCCCAAACTAAAACTTCATACCCATTACACAATAATTTCTTCTTCCTTCCTTTCCCCACTCTCTGGCAACCACTAGTCTACTTTCTGTGTCTATGAATTGAATCACATAATACTTGCCTTTTTATGTCTACCTTATTTCATTTAGCATAATATCCTCAATCAATATTTATCCATGTTGTAGCATGTGTTAGAATATTACTCCTTTGTAAGGCTGAACAAAAATTTATCATATGTATATACAACCTATTGATTATCCATTCATCCATCAATAGATAATAAGGTTATTTCTACTTTTTGACTATTGAGAATAATGTTGCTATAAACATTGGTGTACAAATATTTGTTCATATCCTGTTTCAGTTATTTTGGGTAGGTACCTAGATATAAAAAGTCTGGATCATATAGTAATTCTATGTTTAATTATTTGAGGAACTCTCATATTGTCTTCTATAGCAGCTGCACAGAAATTTCCAGTTTGTTCACATCTACACTGCATGGTGCCATAGCAAGATACCACAGGCTGGGTAGATTAAACAATATAAATTTATTCTTGCACAGTTCTAGAGGCTACAAGTCTGTGAACATCTGGAGTATAGTCACTTTCTGTGAGAGCTCTCACCCTGACTTATATATGGCCATCTTCTCACTATGTGGTTACATGGTCTGTCCTCTGTTCATACCTGGAGAGGGGGTTGAGCTCTGGTGCCCTTTCTTAGAAGGACACTAATCCTATTATATCATGGCCCCACCCTTATAACCTCATTTAACCTAAATTAATTCCTTAGAGACTTCCAAATAGAGTCACACTGTTTGGTTAAAGCTTCAGAATATGAATTTTGAGGGCACATAAACATTCAGTACATAACACACACTTCTAATATTTGATGTTGTTTTTTGTTAGTGCTGTTTTTATTTGTTTTGGTTCTACAAAACCTGGTAAGTGTGAAGTGGTATTTCATTGTGGTCTTGATTTGCATCTCTCTAATGATTAATGATGTTGGGAACCTTTTTCTGTCCTGATCAGCCATTTCTGTATCTTCCTTTTAAAAAATTTTCATTGTCACTGCCAGAAAAGATGGAGGCATAGGTAGACACACTGTGCCTCTTTGGACAACCAAAATAAGGACAACAAAAATTTAGATACAAAATAACAATCAGTACTGACAGAAAATTGAACTGTGTGGAAGTCCGACAACCAAGGAGCAAAAGTAAACACATTCATCCAGACTGGTAGGAGGGGCAGAGTCAGGCAGAGAAGGGTTGCAGCAAAGAAAAAGTGGTGGCTGGCAGACCCCAGTGGGCACAAAGGCAGCAGCAGGCGGACCTAGCAAGGCGGCAAATTGTGGAGGGGCTTGGTGGGCAAAGCGGCTGGCTGACCAGGTGATCCCACATTTGCATGCAGATAAACCAGGTGAGGCTGGGGAGTGAGACAGACCAAGCAACCCAGGGCCCCAGCACAGGGAAATAAAGCCTCAAACCACTGATTGAAAACACCTGTGAGGGCTGAGGTGCCAGAAAAACTCCCAGCCTCACAGGAGAGTTCTTTGGAGACACCCACAAGGTCCTAGAATGTAAACAAACCCACCCACATGGGAATCACCACCAGAAGGGCCCAGTATGCTTGGGGAAAGCAGCAGAAGTGACTAAAGTCCAGCAGAGAGCAGAGAAAGCACCATTGTTCCTTTTTGGACCCCTGCCCCACATACAGCTTCACAACCCAGCGACGTTGGTTGGCCCACCCGAGCAAACACCTAAGGCTCTGCCCCTCACTATGTAACAGGCATGTCAAGACAAAAAAATGGCCCAAACGAAAGAACAAATCAAAACTCCAGAAAAAAGACAACCAAGTGATGAAGAGATAACCAACCTATCAGATGCACAGTTCAAAGTACTGGTGATCAGGACACTCACAGAATTGGTTGAATTGGGTCACAAATTACATGAAAAAAATGAAGGCTATGCTAAGTGAAATAAAGGAAAATGTACAGGGAACCAATAGTGTTGAGAAGGAAACTGGAACTCAAATCAATGGAGTGGACCAGAAGGAAGAAAGAAAGAACCAAATAGAAAAGAATGAAGATACAAGAACTCAAAAAAAAATGAGGAGAGGCTTAGGAACCTCCAGGACATCTTTAAACATTCCAACATCCAAAACACAGGGGAACCAGAAGGAGAAGAGGAAGAGAAAGAAATTGAAAACTTATTTGAACAAATAATGAAGGAGAACTTCCTCAATCTGGCAAAGAAAATAGACTTCTAGGAAGTCCAGGAAGCTCAGAGAGTCCCAAAGAAGTTGGACCCAAGGAGGAACACACCAAGGCACATCATAATCATGTTAGCCAAGATTAAAGATAAGGAGAGAATCCTAGAAGCAGCAAGAGAAAAGGAGACAGTTACCTACAAAGGAGTTCCCATCAGACTGTCAGCTGATTTCTCAAAAGAGACCTTGTAGGCAAAAAGAGGATGGAAAGAAGTATTCCAAGTCATGAAAGGCAAGGACCTGCATTCAAGATTACTCTATCCAGCAAAGCTATCATTTAGAATGGAAGGGCAGATAAAGTGCTTCTCAGATAAGGTCAAGTTAAAGGAGTTCATCATCACCAAACCATTATCATATGAAATGTTAAAGGTACTTATCTAAGAAAAAGAAGGTAAAAAACATTACAGTAAAACGACAGCAAACATAATGATTAACAACCACACCTAAAACAAAAACAACAGCGAACTAAGCAAATAACTAGAATAGGAACAGAACCATAGAAATGGAGATCACATGGAGGTTATCAACAGGGGAGTGAGAGGGTGAGAGAGTGGGAAAAGGTACAGAGAATAAGTAGCATAGATGGTAGGTGGAAACTAGACAAGGGGAGGTTAAGAGTAGTATGGTAAATGTAGAAGCTCAAGAATGCATAAGTATTCACATGGACACATGGACATGGAATGCATAAGTATTCACATGGACACATGGACATGAACTAAAGGAGGGGAATGCAGGTGGGAGAGGGTGTGCAGGATGGAGGGGAATGAAGAGGGAAACTAGGACAACTGTAATAGCATAATCAATAAAATATATTTAAAAAATTAAAAAATTTTAATTGTTATTCTATTAGCGTTGTTCCAATTTTTCCCCATTTGCACTCCTTCACCCAGTGCAGATCCCACTCCCACAGTCAGTCCCCACATTGTTGTCCATGTCTGTGGGTTATTCATACATGTTCTTTGACTAGTCCCTCCCCCTTCCATCTACCATGTTGTATATCTTCTTTAGAGGAATGTCTGTTCAAGTCCTTCGCTCATTATTTAATCAGGTTGTTTTTTTTGTGTGTTTACTTAAAAGATATTTCCCCTTTATCAGGTATATAATTTGAAAATACAAATTTCTATTGCACAGATTGAATTTTTACTCTGATGGTAGTGTCCTATTTACTCAAAAGAGTTTTAAATTTTGATGAAGTGCAATTTTTCTCTCTTTGTTTTGTGTGTGTTTTTGGTGTTATATCAAGAAATTATTGCTAAATTCCATATCATGAAGTTTTTCCCTTATATTTCCTTGCAAGACTTTTATAGTTTCCACTCTTAAGTTTAGGTCTTTGATCCACTTTCAGTTAATTTTTTATATGGTGTAAAGTAGTGCCCAACTTTATTTGTTTCCTTGTAGATATTTGTTTCCCCAACATTATTTGCAGCAAGGGTTTCTCCCCCTATTGAATGGTCTTGTCACCCTTGCTGAAAATCATTCAACTGTGTATGTAAGGGCTCTTCATTTCATTGCAGAGCCTTATATGTCTATCATTACACCAGAAACACAGTTTTATTACTGTAGCTTTGTAGCAACGTTTGGAATCTGGAAGTCTATGAGCTACAACTTGGTTCTGCTTTTACAAGATTGTCTATTTGGGGTTCCTTGCAGTTTCATACAAATTTTAGAATTTTTTGTTTGAAAAAACTATATTGGGATTCTGATGGAGATTGCATTAAATCTGTAGAATGCTTAGAGTAATATTAACCTGTTAAAAATATGACATCCTCCAGCACATGAACATTGGGTATCTTTCCCATTACTTTAGTCTGACTACCAGTTATGTTTTCTGATTCTCAGTGTACAATTCTTCCACCTACTTAGTTAGGTTCATTTCTACAAGGGAAAAGTAGGTCTACAGTTGTATTCTTGTGTTGTTTATTCATTAATTATTATATTTTTTTATGTTATTAACTTAATTTTGCCCACCCCTGTATTTTATAATATTTGATGCTATTTTAAATGGAATTGTTTTCTGAGCTTTTTGAGGTTGTTTATCACAAATGTGTAGAAATGCAATTGATTTTTGTGTGCTAATTTTGTACTCTGTAGATTTGTTTTATTTTATATCAGTTCTAACAATTTTTGTGGTATTGTCAGTTTTCTACAAATAAGATTATGTAATCCATGAACAGAGATAATTTTACTCTCTTCTTTCCATATTGCAATATATTTATTTATCTTTCTTGTATAGTTGCTCAGGATAGGATTTCCAGCACTATATTATATTTTTAAACTTTAAATGTATTAAGACTTGTTTTGTAGCCTAACATATAGTCTATCCTGGAGTCTTTTCCATGTGCGCTTGACAAAAAGTATATTCTATTGCTGTTGGCTGGAGTGCTTTTTATATTTATTTTATCATTTTGTAAATTATTTTCTGCTTTTCTGTCCCTTACTTTCTCTACTGCTACCTTTTTTATTTGTCTGTTGGTTTAGTGGACTTTTTGTAGTGGTACATATTGATTCCCTTCTCATTTCTTTTTGTGTGTATACTATAGATATTACCTATTTGGATACCACATGGATTATATGTAATATTCTAAAATTATAATAATCTGTGTTAAACTTTTAATCAATTGCATAAAAAACTACTCATTTACAGCTCCAGCACCTTGCTTATGTAACTGTTAACAAATCATTTTCTTACATTGCACACTTATTAAGTTATTATTATTTTTATGCATTTATCTTATAAATCCCATAAAAATTAAAAAATGGCACTACAAAACAAAATTATAATGATCTTCATTTTATATTTTACCATATATTTATGTTACCAAGGATCATTGTATTTTTATGTCTTCAAATTACTGTCTAGATTCTTTTTATTTCACTTGACAGATTCTGTTCAGAATTTTTTTGTGGGGCAGATCTGGTGGCAATGAACTCCTTCATATTTTGTTTTGCTGAGGATATCTTAATTTCTCCCTCAGTTTTGAATGGCATTTTGCAAGATATATGCTTCTTGATTCACTATTTTTTTTCTTTCAGAACTTTAAATATGTTATCTCATTGTCTTCTGTACTGAAAGTTTCTTTTGAGAAATCCTCTAATCATTTCACTGGAGCTTCCTGTACATGATGTGTCACTTTATTTTTTTCTGCTTTTAAGATTTTATCTTGATATTTAGTTTTTGACACTTTGAGTATAATGTATCTTAGTATTGGTTGTATTCTACTTGGAGATACTGAGCTTCTTAGATGTGTAGACCCATGTATTTCCACAAATTTGGGAAATATTAAACAATAATTTCTTCAAATAATCTCTCTACTACTTTTATTCTATATTATCTTTTTTCACTTCTAGAATATATATACTGGTCTACTTAATGGTGTCCCACAAATCCCCCATGATCTGTCAAAATTCCCAGTTTTCCTCATTCCTTAATCTTTTTGTTAGTCAGGTATGATACAGATGACCTGTTTTACAGGTGGTTGATATTTTCTTCTGCCTGTTTAAATCTGCTACTGATCACTTCTAGTAAATTTTTGAATTTAGTTATTGTACTTGCAACTCCAGAATTTCTGTTTGGTTCTGTTTTTTAAATAATTTTAATTTTTGTTGACATTCTCATTTTGTTTATATATTGTTTACCTGACTTACTCTAGTTTCTTGTCAGTGTTTTTCTTTAGTTCTTCAAGCATATTTCAGGCAGTTGTCTTAAAGTCTTTGTGTAGTAAGTCTAATGCCTGTGTATATTCAGGGATGGTTTCCATGATTTATTGTGTTCCTTTTAATGGGACATGTTTTTCTGTTTCTTTATATACCATGTGATTTTTTTGTTGCTGAAAATAGGGCATTTGAACAAAAACAGCAACTCCTCCCAGTCCTTTCCAACTTCTAGGAAAGACCTTGATAAACTAGTAGGGCATATTTTGAGACTGGGCATCAGTCCAGTGTGAAACTTAAAGGTCACTTTATGTTATTTTTCTGAGCAAGTGCCTTTCCAAAAATATGTCTCTGATTTTTTAAAAAAACTTCCCCTAATGCATAGGTGCTTTTACATTTCTTATTTTTCCACAATTTCTCATCCCACCTTCTTCTTGGCACTTTAGAGGTTCTGTAGTATTTCATTACACATAATCCCTTGCCCCACGTGTCAGTAAACTTGTCGTTCCTCTTCAGCTTTAATGGGCTAAGCCCCCTGTTTCCCATGGCTTTTCCTAGCCTGAGATCTGAACTATGCCACAGACTACCATCTGAGCTCTAAATCAGGAAAACAGGAATATTCCTTGAGGTAGTACATGGAAGGTTAGATCATTACAAATAAAGTCCTCTGTACTTCCTCCAGCCCAAGTAGGGAAACAGAATCTAGACCATTTCCTCCCAATCATGCTGTGGCAAGCAGAGAGGCAGTATGTCAAGGAAGAATAATAAGTTACTGAAATTTTTTCAACCATTTTGATTGTGGCTTTTTCTTGATTTGGTGTTCACTTGGTTGTTACAAATCTTTGCCAGCTTTCCACAGCTTCTATAAAGCTAATTTAGCCAGGCTGTAGTAGTTAGTTTTACTGTATCCATGAGAAAATAAGGGTTTGGAACTTCCTAACCCATCATATTTCTGCCATCACTCTTCTTTGCCCAGCTTTTTCTTTCAAAGCATTTTAAACACACAAAAGATATTCACTAAAGGTGTAGTAAATACTATTCCTACTTATATTCACAAATTCTTCATATTTTGTCAAATTTGTTTATATCTCTATAAATATACCCATTTGTTCTGAACCCTTTGAAGGTAAGTTACTGATGTCATGGCACTTAATTTTTGGTATGTCAACATGTATTTCCTAATTACAAGGACATTGTCCTACAAAACTGTAATATCATGGTAGATATCATCCCACTATGAAGAGGCAGAGATAAAAATTTGAACCTGAGTTATTCTGCCAACTCATTACTCTGCACTATGCCTACTCATCGATGCTTAAGTAATGTTTCTCCCATCGTTTGATTTTTCTACAATCACCAAGCCACCGTCATCATGTTATCTGATTTTCCATATAGATGGGAGGAAGAGAATGAGCCACCAGCAATGATGGCCATTGAGTGTGATATGTATGTGTGTCAACTAAACACATGGAAATCTTTCTGTTATTATGACTTCCTCATAAGCTGTACTCAAAGTAACCTAACAGAAAGGGTGTTTATTTTCAATCATAGATAACAGTATTCATATTATAATCATTTAGGAAAATATAAAGATATTAATAAAATTATCTCTTTATATTTACAGATGGTTTGGGCTTCTTCCTACCTCATTGGCTGTGGTGTGTCACCATGCTGCAAAACAATGTCACATCAATATCTCTATGTTTGTCACTATTGTCATGAGTATGTATTATACAGTTTGGGTTCATGTGGCATTTAGAAATTTATCCCCCTCCCTTATTCTAGTTTCTCAAACATAAAATAAAAATCAAATAAATATTTCATATCAGTTAAGCAGAACTTTAGTGATAAAATGTCATTTAGCCATTTCCTAAAATATTAAACACACACACTTTTCTCTACATATTTTTTCTAAATACATCTATATATCACTAATAGAATGTTCAAATTGAGAATTACCAGTAGTCTTTCTATGTATTATTGATATGTCAAGTAATAGTAGTTAAGGAAGACAAATTTGAGCTAGCTTAAGCAAAAAAAAAAAAAGAAAAATGATATTCACTTCAACAATACAGAGTACTTTTATAATGCAAAGCCAGAAATTCAGCAGAGTATAAAGAGTAAACAGAAAAACCCAAGTGTTCTTGTATTTAGCTCTTTTGTGTAACTATTGGTATATATCTTTTCTTTAGAAATTAAATTTACATATTCAACAGTGTTAGTATAAGTTCCTAGAAGGAATAATCTGATTGCTTCAGTGAAGCACAGTTACTCTTTGCCCCCATGGTGTTTTACCACTGTGTCTCACATGTGTAGCACAATAAAAGATGTTCAATATGAACCAATGAACATGATTTATCTGATCATGTGCAACCACCCTTACACTTTAAATAAGTTGTCCAAAGTCATAATAGATGCAATTTATATAAAATATTCACATAATAGCTCTATATGAGTTATTTCTGGTCTTATTGTGTCTTTATTTTAGTAGTTAGTATTTGTTGTAATTTTATTAATGCTGAGAAAAATAAGATCTGCTTGCATTTATACCACATCAATTGCACTGAATCTTTGAAGGGGTTGATGGTCTGTGGTGAACTTCTGAAAATATTAAAGAGAGTAGAATACATGGAGTTGTGGTAGAAAAATTTTTTTGGCAAATTTTTTGCCATGTTTCTGATAAAAATCCTTAACAAGTGATAAATTTCTTTTATGAGGTAAAATTTTAACAATTTCAATATCAAAGAGAAAAACTGGATAGAATGTTCTTTCAGCCAGAACACTTTACTTTACTTTTTAAGTGATATTAAGTACAAATCATTCACATTGTGTTCTTAGATATCTGCAGGTAAGCCTGTTATCTCTGCAATTTCAAACTACCTCAGAACTGGAAAATCTTACCTTACCTATGCACTCTCTCCTGCAACTCTCTACATTTTAGCTATGCTGGTGTACTTTTATTTTTTATAATACACCATATGTTTCTATAAAAGACACTCACATATATCAAGTTTCTTATGATGTAGTGCAAGATGAAATTAGAACATCTCCATGCACTTAAAACTTTTCTCTTCTTATTTTATTATTCTATTGATGATGCTATTACATTTGTATTGATTTGCCCCCCTCCACCAGCATCCTTCATTCCCTCAGACAATCCCACCACCACTGATTATGGTTCATGCATACAATTTCCTTAGCTATTCCATTTCCTTACATGCTATGCCTTATATCCCCATGGCTATTTTGTAATTACCTATTGTATTTCTTAATCCTCTCACATCTTCACTCATTCCCACACATCCCACTTCCATCTGGCAACCCTTGAATGCTCTCCATATCCATGATTTTGTCTCTGTTCTTCTTGTTTGCTTAATTTGTTTTTTTTAATTCAACTGTCCATAGACTTGTAAATTTGCCATTTTATTTTTCATAGTTTTGATCTTCTTTGTCTTAAGTAAATCCCTTAACATTTCATATAATAATGGTTTGGTGACTCCCAGACAAAATGGAGGCGTAGGTAGATACATTGTGCCTCCTTGCACAACAAAGAAGGACAATAAATTTAAAAACAAAAAGCAACCAGAACTGACAGAAAATTGAACTGTATGGAAGTCCAACAACCAAGGAGTTAAAGAAGAAATATTCATCCAGACTATAGGAGGGGCAGAGATGGGCAGCGGAGCAGAGAGGACTTTTGGCAAGGTAGTGGATTGAGGACTGGGTGGTCCCACATTCATGTACAGATAAACAAGAAGGAACAACTGGGGAGCAAGACAAACCATGCAACCCAGGGTTCCAGTGTGGGGAAATAAAGCCTTGAACCTCTGATTGAAAACACATATTGGGGTTGTGGCAGTAGCAGAAGAAACTTTCAGCCTCACAGGAGAGTTCATTGGAGACACCCACAGGGTCCTAAAAGATACACGAGCCCACCCACCTGGGAATCAGCACAAGAAAGGTCCAATTTGATTGTGGATAGTGGGGGAAATGACTGAAAACCAGCAGAGAGTGGAGAAAGTGCCATTGTTCCTTTTTGGACCCCTACCCCACATATAGCACTACATCGCAGCAATGTGGGTTGCCCCACCCTGGTGAACCCCTAAGGCTCCACTGCTTACTATGTAACAGGTGCATGAAGACAAAAAAATGGCCTAAATGAAAGAACAAATCAAAACTCCAGAAAAAAGACAACCAAGTGATGAAGAGATAACCAACCTATCAGATGCACAGTTCAAAGTACTGGTGATCAGGACACTCACAGAATTGGTTGAATTGGGTCACAAATTACATGAAAAAAATGAAGGCTATGCTAAGTGAAATAAAGGAAAATGTACAGGGAACCAATAGTGTTGGGAAGGAAACTGGAACTCAAATCAATGGAGTGGACCAGAAGGAAGAAAGAAAGAACCAAATAGAAAAGAATGAAGATACAAGAACTCAAAAAAAAATGAGGAGAGGCTTAGGAACCTCCAGGACATCTTTAAACATTCCAACATCCAAAATCACAGGGGAACCAGAAGGAGAAGAGGAAGAGAAAGAAATTGAAAACTTATTTGAACAAATAATGAAGGAGAACTTCCTCAATCTGGCAAAGAAAATAGACTTCTAGGAAGTCCAGGAAGCTCAGAGAGTCCCAAAGAAGTTGGACCCAAGGAGGAACACACCAAGGCACATCATAATCATGTTAGCCAAGATTAAAGATAAGGAGAGAATCCTAGAAGCAGCAAGAGAAAAGGAGACAGTTACCTACAAAGGAGTTCCCATCAGACTGTCAGCTGATTTCTCAAAAGAGACCTTGCAGGCAAAAAGAGGATGGAAAGAAGTATTCCAAGTCATGAAAGGCAAGGACCTGCATTCAAGATTACTCTATCCAGCAAAGCTATCATTTAGAATGGAAGGGCAGATAAAGTGCTTCTCAGATAAGGTCAAGTTAAAGGAGTTCATCATCACCAAACCATTATCATATGAAATGTTAAAGGTACTTATCTAAGAAAAAGAAGGTAAAAAACATTACAGTAAAACGACAGCAAACATAATGATTAACAACCACACCTAAAACAAAAACAACAGCGAACTAAGCAAATAACTAGAATAGGAACAGAACCACAGAAATGGAGATCACATGGAGGTTATCAGCTTGGGAATGGGTGGGGAGAGATGGGGTAAAGGTAGAGAATAAGTAACAGAAATGGTAGGTAGAAGATAGACAAGGGGAGGTTAAGTATAGTATAGGAAATGTAGAAGCCAAAGAACTTATACATATGACCCATGGACATGAACTATAGGAGGGGAATGCAGGTAGGAAGGGCTGTACAGGGCAGAGAGAAATAAAGAGGGGAATGGGACAACTGTAATAGCATAATCAATAAAATGTATTTAAAAATAATGGTTTGGTGCTGATGAACTTCTTTAGTTGTTTTTTGTTGTTGTTTGTTTTTGTTTTTTGTTTTTTTTTTGGCTGGGAAGCTTTTTATCTGCCCTTTGGTTCTAAATGATAGCTTTGCTGGGTAAAGTAATCTTGGCTGTAGGTCTCTGCTTTTCATGACTTTGCATATTTCTTGCCAAACTCTTCTACCCTGCAAAGATTCTTTTGAGAAATCATCTGACAATCTTATAGGAACCCCTCCCACCCCTGTAGTTAACTAACTGCTTTTCTCTCACTGCCTTCAAGATTCTCTCTTTATCTTTAACCTTTGGCATTTTAATTGTGATGTGTCTTGGAGTGGGCCCCTCTGCATCCATCTTGTTTGGGATTCTCTGTGCTGCTTGGATTTGCATGTTTATTTCCTTCACCAATTAGTGAAGCTTTCTTTCATTATTTTTTCAAATAGATTTTCAATATTTTGCTCTTTCTCTTCTCCTTTTGGCACCCCTATGATGCAAATGTTGGACCTCTTGAAGTTGTTCCAGAGGCTACTTATAATATCATCGTTTGGGGGGATTCCTTTTTCTTCTTATTGTTCTGATTTTTGTTTGTTTGTTTGTTTGCTTCCTTACGTTACTGCATAGCATTGACTTGAATCTTGGCTTAATCCACTCTACTGTTGTTTTTCTGTAAATTATTCTTTTTTTCAATGAGTGTATTCATTTCTGACGGGATTTGTTTTATGCTGTTGAGGTTCTCACTGAGTTCCTTGAGCATCCTTGTAACCCGTGTTTTGAATTCTGCATCTGATATCTCCATTTTGCTTAGCTTTTTTTCTGGAGTTTTGATCTGTTCTTTCATTTGGGCCATGTCTCTTTTTCTCCTTGTTTTGGCAGCCTCCCTGTGTTTGATTCTATGTATTAGGTAGAGCTGCCTTGACTCTATGTCTTGGTAGTGTTGCCTAAAGTGGTAGGTGTCTTGTAGGGCCCAGTGGCACAGCCTCACCTATCATCAACCTGGGTACTTGAGGTATGCCCTTTGTGTGGGCTCAATATACCTTCCTCTTGTAGTTAAGCCTTGGTTAGTGTTAGCAGATCAATGGGTGGGATTTACCCAGCCCAGCCAGTGGCAAGGATTGGCTTGGACCACTTAACACCAACCTCCACCCTCCATGGAGGATCAGTTGTGCAGGGCAGGGTGTTGGTACCCTGCTATGGTCTGTAGCTGTCCACTGGTTGCACTGGGCCTGGAATTTCTCAGGTGATGCAGACCAAGATCAGTCCCAACCTCTGTTTTACTCGGGTCCATCCTTCCTGAGCTATAAAGCAATCTGAGATGGCTGCTACTTGTGCTGGGTTTGGAGATTCCCAAGTGAAACCAAACTGTGAATCTAGGCTGGTTGCTTTTAGTGAAGGGCCTGGGGTTCACTGAGGCTAGCTGTTGCTTGTTTGATAGGATTTAAGAAGTTGTGAAGCATGAACCAACACCAGCTATTTATATGGAAATGCAGGTTGGGTGGGCCTGTAAATTGGGTGGGACAGAGTCTCTGGGGGTCTCCAAGGCAGGTCAAACAGTGTTAGCCAGGTTGATGGAGTCTAAGATATGGCTCCAGCTTGCCATCTCAGTCTCAATGGATGTGGTTTCTTTAATTCTGTAGTCGTTGGACTTCCATTTAACTCGATTTCTTATGGTTCTAAATGATGGCCATTCTATATTTTAGTCATAATTTTGATGTTGTTGTGAGAAGAGGTGAACTACGTCTGCCTATCCTGCCATCTTGACCCAAAACTTTTGTTAGTATTGTTAAGAACATCTAATTTTTCATGACTGTTAATCAAGTTCTTATGGGTATAAAGAAAAGTTTCCTATTGTATATGGCCCTAAACCTGCTCTGCTACTTAGGATTTGACTTTCCAAAGAGCTACAAACTGCCTCAAAGAATTCTTAGGACACCACATTTACCAGTCAGACATTTAAAGAGATAAATTATCCTATTGTAAGTCTAGAAATATTAAACCCATCTTAAAGATTATCATTGTTATAGAAAAGTGGTTTTAAAAAATTGTATTTAAAATTGATTGTAAATACTGAGTATATTTTATATGTCTTTTTCAAACATCAATTTTATTAGACCACTTTTTTTTCCCTAGGGGAAATGAACCTGCGACAAAGAATCAACCTTATAAGATGGGAAGTGCATGTAAAGACTGTCCAAATAACTGTGACGATGGACTTTGTAGTAAGTTTTACATTCTAGTTTGCTTAATGTTGGCTGTTGACTCAGGTGCCATGAGTCCTTTAAATCAAGCATCTAATAATATTGCGCTTTCCTATAACTTTTATCTCAATCATTTAACAGGAAAGATCAACATTTTCACTTCTCCCCTGAGTGACCCAGGCCATTGGTTAAATCTATTAGAATGGGAATTAGAATGTATAGGTCCAAACCAAGTGTCCACCTAAATTTTTAAAGACCCCAACAGGGGCAACCTAGATAAAATATTAACATAAGTTTAAATTTTTCTATGTGCAATAAAAGATTTCTGGGCTCTCTTACTGCAGCCCTTACATTAGACATAGTGCTTTCAAGTTACCAGTGTTCTCCACTCTACTGTTGTAGATTTCTTGCTGCTCTATAATTTCCCTACCAACTTGACCTTATTATGGCATGTAGAAGTTAAACTTTTTAAGTGGAGATGGTATGATATTGTGTATAGAAAATTTTAACAACTCTACCAAAATTGTCAGAATTCATCATTGAATTCAATACAGTTGCAGGATACAAAATCAACATATGGAAATTAGTTCTGTTTATATACACAAATAACAAACTATCAGAAAAAAATTAAAAAAAATAATCCTAGTTACAATTATGTCAAAAAGAATAAAATACCTCAGAATAAATATAACTAAAAATGTAAAAAATCTGTGAACTGAAAAGTATTACACATTGATGAAAAAATTGAAGAAGATATAAAAATGAAAATATATTACATACTTATGGATTGTAAGAATTAATATTGTTAAAATGTACATTTTATCCAAAGTTATTTACAGACTTAATGTAATCCTTATCAAAATTCTATTGGCATTTTTCACAGAAATAGAACTATTAATCAGAAAATTTGCATGAAACCACAAAGGATCTCAAGTGGTCAAAGCAACCTTGAGAAAAAAGAATAAAACTGAAGATATGACACTGGTAATTTCAAACTATAATACAAGCTTTAGTCATCAGAGCAGTATGGTACTGACATAAAAATAGAAACATAGATCTATATGGGACAGAAGATAAAGGCCAGAAATAAACCAATGCATGTGTAGTCAATTAATTTACAACAAAGGAGCCAAGTATATACAGGAGCCAAGTAGCCTGAAGAGACTATACAGAGAAAAGGATAGTCTCTTCAATATATGGTGCTGGAAAAACTAGACAGCCTTGTGAAAAAGAATGAATCAGGACCACTATCTTACACCATACACAAAATTAACTCAATGTAGATTAAAAACTTGAACATGAAACCTGAAGCCATAAAATTCATAAAATAAAACATGAGGGAAATCTCCTTGATATCAATCTTGGGAATGGCTTTTAAAATTTACTGCCAAAAGCAAAGGCAACAAAAGCAAAAGTAAACATGTAGTACTACATCAAACTAAAATGCTTCTGCATCTCAAAGAAAGCTCTCAGAATGAAAAGGAAACATAAATGGGAGAAAATATTGGCAAATCATATATCTGAATCAGGGTTAATATCCAAAATATATAAAGAACTCATATGACTCAACAGCAAAAAAACAAACAATCCAATTTAAAAATGGGCAGAGGAAGTGAATAGACACTTTTCCAAAGAAAACAGTGACTACCCTTAATCCTCTGACCCTCTCTCCTTTCACGGACATAAAAGACACTCAACATCACTAATCATCAGAGAAATGCAAATCAACATGACAGTGAGTTTTTCCCTCACACCTGTTAGAATGACTATTATGGAAAAGACAAGATATAACAAGTAATGGTGAAATGGAGAAGAGGGAACCCCTTGTACTCTGTTGATGGGAATGTAAACTAGTGCAGTCTCTATGGCAAATGGTATGGAAGTTCCTCAAAAAATTAAAAATGGAACTATCATATGATTCAGTAACTCTATTCCTATTTATTTATCCAAAGAAACTGAAAACACTAGCTCAAAAAGATATCTGTACCCTCATGTTTATTGTTATTACCAATAACCAGGTCATGGAAACAACAACCAGTCTATTGACAGATAAATGAATAAAGACAACTTGCCACACACACACACACACACACACACACACAGAGTATTCATATATAATATATATATATATATATAATTATTGTGTTGTATGCCTTAAACTAATACAATGTTACATAGCAGTTATATCTCAATAAAACTAAGGAGAGTAAAGAATAAAAGAAAAAATATTAATGAAAACACCTTAGACAAGTCAAAGAAAAAATGTTACATAAAAAAATTCATCACATCATATTTTTCTAAAATATTACATAGCAGAAGACAATGGAATAATGATGGATAATTTATTTAAAGAAATATTGATGTATGTATATGCCTGTTTATAGGATAGAACCCACTGAATTTTTATTTAAGAAAATTCTCTGGGTAAAGAGATTATTTGAGAAATGTGGGTATTCTATATGTGGATTTTATATAATTTTTAATTGGCTACATATTAATTTTTTCATTAAAAAACATTACTAGATGACTTTCACTTTCTGATTTCAAAACTCACTACAAAGCTACAATAATCAGTGTTGTACTGGTTTAAGACAGATATGTGCCCATGGAATAGAATACAGATCCCAGAAATAAACCCTAGCATATATAGATGTATATTAATTTTAATAATCCAAAGCAATGCCTCACCTATTAAATGGCACAACATCAAATAAGCAGACTACAATGAATAAATAAAACTTTTAGCACTTTATTATTTATAGTGTATGATGTTGATGGTTTCAAAATGATACTCTAGTTGATAAAGATGATTCATCTCTAATCTGCTTAGATATGTCCTACCAAAAAAAAATTGTGACTAAGGAAATCTGTTTAGTTACAGACCATACTTTCATACTCTTTTTTAAAATAACAGACTCCTTATCTGCTTTCCATTCTAATTTTATTAGCTCATCATAATAAAAAGTATTAGTTATTAATAAATTTTATGTTCATACCTTTAAGGAGATGATCTCTTTCCCCCGAGACTGTGATTTTTTGAAAGTAATGTGTAACCATGTTTTTCCTTCCAGCTAACCCCTGCATCTACTATGATGAGTACACTAACTGTCAAAAGCTACAGCGTATGCACGGATGCATCCAGCAGTCAGTTAAAATGCTGTGCAAAGCCAGTTGTTTTTGTAACACAGAGATAACATAACCTTTGTTGTTTCAACTAGAATATAATAGTGAGGAAATGTCCACTGGATTGCATCTTTTACCTTAATTTGCTTCAGTAGCTTCTGCTGAATTTCATTTGGTTTTAATTGTACTTGAGATCCTAATTTTTCACTAATCATATATGAGCATCAGATATTTATATCCATGCCACCCACTCCTGTCTGGGTACATCCTGAAGTAACATTGTTTTAAATTTTCTTACTCCTGCAGTGAAAGGTCTAGTTCAACACCTGCCCCATTAATATGGATCATAAAGCTTTGTGACTTAGAGTACTTAGGTTGACATTATTCAGCTGAGGCACACCTGGGCCCCTCTTTCTCTCTTTAACTTCTTCCCCTGCTTTCTTACATCTCCCACCAGACTGACGTTCGTCTTTCCTGTATAACTTACATAAACTAAAAATTTTTCACTTCTTTACTTTTATCTTGAATCAATCATTAAAATAATCTACAAAGCAACCAAAAGGTCCAGTATCATTCATTGCAAGGTAAATATTGCTTAACTGCAAGTGGTTTTAAGTGTCTTATCATTTCATTGCTATATCTATACACATTTGTAAAGCAGGGAAAAAAACCTGTGTGTCCTTAATTTAACAATATATGGAATCAGCCCTGATTACTTACAAAGCTTAATTCATAAAGTATAGAGGATATTGTCTCACTCATTTCAAATAAAGATGTAAATATTAGTGAATCTGAACATTAAACAAATTGGTGAAGTGTGTGGCTACATGGTTGCCTATAGAGCCCTGTACCTGGTATTTGTTTTCAGTTTCAGGATTTTTTTTTTAATAAATGTACTCCTTTGTCATAACATGTATAACAAAGAGGTAGTAGAAACCAAATTTCACTTCAAGGATGACAGTTGTCTTTGGGACCCCAAATAAGCTTCCTATGCTAAATATCTACAAGGAAATGTGACACAAACTATAGTGTAACTTTTTAAAAATGCTTCCCAATATTACCCCCATGACCACAGTTTATCAGGAAGGTTTGTGATCACAGCAACACACTATTTACAGAATGAAATGTCATGATATGTTCTGGGTCACTGTCAAGGAATAATAAGGTCATAATTGGACCCAGGAGCCCGAAAGCACTGTTACATTAAAAATAGGTATGTTTGTGTGTTTGCATGCATGTGTACATGTACTAATGGATGTCTAGAAGACCTATGAAGCAAAGATAGCAAAGAGCATCATTGAGGACAAAATCCTCATTAGGTTGTTGGGTTCACAGTAGAGGGTAAGGGGGCACAAAAATGGATCCAGATTATGGGGAAACTTGAAGGAAAGGCAAACTGAATGATTTGGATTTTAAACCACTTCTAATTTTTATGTAAAAGAGCTTCACATCCATGCTGTTGTGAAGAGTAGGAGTTCCTTCTTTCTTTCTGCTGCATAGTATTCCACTGTGTAAATGTACCATAGTTGTTTGATTCATTCATTTACTGATCAGCATTTAAGTTGCTTCTAGCACTTGGCTATTGTAAATTGTGCCACTATGAATATTGGGACACATAGGTTCTTTAGAATTAGTGTTTCAGGATTCTCAGGGTATAATCCCAACAGTGGAATTGCCAGGTCAAAAGGCAGCTCCATTTTTGGTGGAGGAAAAATGGAGACAACTGTACTTGAGCAATAATAAAATAAATAAAATAATAAAAATAAAAGAACTTCACACACAAACACACAAAAAAGTTGTACACAAATTTATACAGAGGCATGTATAGTAGAATGATCCCAGATGTGCAGACTGATAACTGGCCTACATTATGGGTCATTGTGGGTTTTCAAAATGTGCTCAAGGCTTAATTAAGCAGTTAGAGCAACATTGTCATGGCTTGTTTTCTATAACATGCAAGGAGGGCACAGCAAAGGGTACAGAAATCCCAAGACATTTCTGGGATCATGTACCAGGAATCACTGAATAATAGAGGGACATGGTATTTCTTCTACTTAGATCTGCCTGTAGTGTTCAAATCATTTTATGGGAAGGAAAGAGATGAAGGAGCATAGAAATTTCAGTAGGGTGAATCTTATCACTAATGTAAAAGTGAAATAGGGGGTTTATCAAATATATGTTCTTACAACAGCCAAGTTAGGGAAGCAACCCATGTGCCATCAATAGACAAGCACATAAAAAAGCTATGGTACACTTATACAACAAAATATTATGTGACCATTAAAAAGAATGAAATCTTACTATCTCCAACAGCATGGATGGATGCTCAGTGAAAATAAGTCAGTCAGAGAAAGACAAATGCCATATGATTTCACTCATATGTGGAATCTAAAGAACAAAATAAACAAAATTGAAAAAGTCATAGATAACAGAGAGAGAACTGGTGGTTGTGAGAGGGGAGTGGGGCTTGGGGTGCTGAGTGAAAAAGATGAAAGGACTAACAGGCACAAATTGGGTGTTACAAAAGAGGCACAGGGAAGTAAATAAAGCACAGGAAATACAGTCAATAGGTAGGGTATTGGAAACATTGAGGGAACACTACGTAAAGTATATGACTGTCTATCCACTACGCTGTATAATCCAGTGCATAATTAAAAATTCATATATCTAAGAATTTTTTAAGTGTGTTCTTTAAATAAAGCTCAATTATCTCTGAGAAGCATGACAATTATTTTACTACTGAAAATTTCAACTGCATTTAGGTTTCTGGCTTCAGGCTGTGGTAGAAATCATTATCTCCATAGGAACTGCCTTCAAGTATTTAGACTTTTGCAAGATGTATAGCAAACATTAAGTTATGCATATAATATCATTTAAACTATACAACATCCTTCTGAGGTGGAAATTATTATCTACAATTCTACATATGATTATTACGGGAGGAAATAGATTCTTGGGCAGTGTCAAGGGAAAAGAATTTCAGCAACACACACATAGGAGAAGTTTTAAGTGATAGTAACATGATTTATTAGAGTGAAAAGTGACTGTATACTCTTAGAGAGACAGAGAGCAGGGAAGCTACAGGGTAGGGCCTGCATGGACTCAGGAAAGGAAGTTACAGAGGCAAAGGAAAGTCCTCTGCTGCTGGTTGCTGCTCCCCTGGATGCAAGTCACATAAGGACCCTTAGCGTTTAGGAGAATAAAAGGCAAAAAGTACAAGCCCGAGAGAAGAAAGGCTCACACTGAATTCTTCGCCCAAATTCCATATATTTTCTTGGGTTTGAGAAAGAGCAAGGCTTTCTTTCAAACTAACTAGTCTCTTTCCTGGCTTTTCCCTGGGCCTTTCCTGGTGCTCTCTCCCTATCCAATCTCTTTCCTAGATTCTCTGGGGCTCGTGCCCTTCCACAATTCCATGCTTTCCCCAGGTTTTGCTCTTCCCCTATTATGGTTGTCATGTTGGCTCCTACTGTGCATGCACCCAGTAGAAAGACGTCACCCTGGCCATTTCCATTGATCCAGTAGAACAATACTGGTTACCTCTCCACCTTCACCCCTTGTATGGCTATAAAACTGTCTTCACTGCCTAGTGGAAAAAGCAGGATGTTTTGTTCCATTTGGTGGAACAATACCCATTATATCCAGGGGTGACTGTTCTGTTGACTTCCTCTCTTTTCGGTTAATACCTAAATAACTACCAACTGTAACATGAGGACACTGAGTTTTCAAAATTTTCCATAACTTCCTTTGGATCACAAATTAGAAAGACATAGAGATCTTGCCTTAAGGGTATTTTCTTCCAAACTTCAGGTGGAAAATAGTGTACCACCAGATGCAGCAATAAAAGAAGTTAACAAGAATTGTTAGACTCTCATCTAGAAAATAGAGACATCAAACTTAGATTTTGAAATTTTTTTCTTTCTCATTCATTCAATTTACTTTATAAACAGGACTGGGTGGTTATTAAACTAAACAGCATATTGAACTATTTACAGTGAGTTTATTATGAATCTTTATTATTTTCTTCAAAAAAAATGGATATCCTGCTGTAATATTGTATTTACAATGAGAAATATATACATATTTGTCTTTGTGCCCTTCTTGGCACAGAGCTCCTAAAACCCTTGGAATTTCCTGAGAGATGAGAGTGATAGAGAGCTTATGTTAATAAGGCAATTATTTTGTTATGTTACTAAGGCAGTTTTTGGAATGCAGTTAAGGATGGGGGCTGGTTACCTGGGAACAAAACCATGTGATCAAAGGGTTGGAACTCTCGGTCTCATCCCCTGACCTCTGAGGAGGGAAGAGGGCTATAGGTTAAATTCATGAATCTTGACTGTGTAATGAAGCCTCCATAAAAGCCCAAAGGACTGGGTTGGGGAGCTTGCAGGTTGATGAGCAAATGGGGATTTGGGGAGAGTGGAGTAGTCAGAGGGGGCATGAAAACTCTGCACCCTTTTTTGATACATTGCCCTAGGTATCCCTTCTATCTGGCTGTTTCTGAGTTATATCCTTTTATAAGAACTTGTAATCTGGTAAGTAAAATGTTTCTCTGAGTTTTGTGAGTCACTCTAGCAAATTAATCAAACCCAAGGAGGGGACTGTTAGAATCTCTGATCTAGTCTGACTGTGTCTGTAGGTGGTTGGGAACGGTCTTATAAGACTGAGCTTTAAAACCTATGGTATCTGGAATTGTTTCCTGGTAGATAGTGTCAGAATTGAGTTGAACTGCAAGACACTGAGCTGGTGTCAAAGGATTACTTGTTGGGGCAAAACCCCTCACCCACTGCACTGGAATTGGGTGCAGAACCTTTGTGTGCTAAATGCACTTACAAACCACACGTAGGAAATGCTCAGCTTCTATATTGTATGAAGATTGCAGGCATTTTAAGGGGAAACACCCACAGTATGTGATCACCTGCAAACCAAGCTGTTCTCTCCTTCACAATTGTTTTCAGAAATTTGTTATACACTGAAGTTTGACAGCAATTTTATGGATGGTACTATTAGTTTAATCTGGACAGAGCCTGTGGGCAAAGACAATGTCAAAAGTGATAAGATGCCACTGAGAAACCACAA